TCGTTCGTCGTCGTACGTACGTACGTAGTAGTTACTATATATTAGTATATATATATATATATATAGTATATATATTAATAGTATATATATATATATTGTGTGTGTGTGTGTGTGTGTGTGTGTGTGTGTGTGTGTGTGTGTGTGTGTGTGTGTGTGTGTGTGTGTGTGTGTGTGTGTGTACACATCTACACACTCCCAAGATGCTTTCACACCTGGTTTGGAAATTAATGTGATCCCGTGGGTAGCCACTCATGTATCAGCATATGCATGTCTGCTACGCATGCCTGAATATTGCATTATATGACAAGCTAGTTTGAGAGTCTCATACCTTCCTGGGGTCAATGGGAATGTGTAGACGTTCTGTTCTTCTCGCAGAATGGATTCAAATGTTCGGAGAGCGCTGATAGAAGAAACGGGATAGCAGGTGTCATTGTTTAACGAATTGAAGTGTTCCGTGCATAGTACGAGAGATTCAGGCTGTGGTGCGGGCACGTTTGCAACGCCATATATATAGTTGGAATAAATAGCCTGATTCCGTATCTCGGGTGAAGAAATGGGCTACGCTCAAGAAGCAACACTTAAATTTGTGATCACCAGCCACCCAGTGATCCTAAAGGCAGCCCTGAGACACTCTCCTTCCACACAGCAGAGCATATACTCATGATTCCCTGAACACGTGCTATCTTGACGGTCGACGTATTCGGCTTGGGACCGTTCAAAAACTTAGTTATTAAGCTTCTTCAACAGCAAGAGCTCGAGCAGCTACATACATGTGATCATCAACCAAACACGACCAGTCCTCCTGAATATGTGTCATGTCTACGATTGACTTGACACATACCGCTAACAACTTAAACACAGGGTTGTGTACGTACAGTACAATGAAGTGCTCAACCAATACCCGACAGGTGGTTTTCAAACACTCAGCAATTATCGCCTGAGGGCGAATGCATGTCCACCGTTGGCACATTCCGTTAACGACAGCTGAACGAGTTTGTAGTATAGATCACAAGCGACCCAAATGAGCACACGCCGAGACGGGCATGTCACTAACTACCATTTATACCACTCACAACCACTCACATTACTTACAGATTGGTAGCCAAGTGACTAACAACCCCTCGAAACACTTAAGATTTTGACAGACCTGTGACCAACAACCATACATACCACTGACAACCACTCAAACTACTTGAAAATCGGCAGCCAAGTAACTAACAACCACTCAAACCACATCAAAATTAACCGTCAAGTAACTAATAACCACTCAAACCAGTTAAAATTAACGGCCAAGTAACTAACAACCACTCAAACCACTTCAAATTAACGGTCAAGTAACTAATAACCACTCAACCCAGATAAAAATTATCGGTAAAGAAACTAACAACCACTCAACCCACTTCAAATTAACGGTGAAGTAACTAATAACCACTCAACCCAGTTAAAAATTAACGGTCAAGCAACAAACAACCACACAAACCATTTCCAAATTAACAGTCAAGTACCCAAAAACCACACATACCACTTGGTATGTTGACAGGCAGCGCACTGACAACAACTCACCGGTAGATCTCCTGAATGCGGCTCATGTCGACGGTAGACGCATCCAGCACAGCACGGTCGCATGTGTTGAAATTGACGCGCACCAGTTCATAGCTGGTGGAGTCCACAATCAGGACAGGCCTGCTTATCGTGGACCAGATTTTTTGGACCGGGTCGGCGTACTGCGCAAATGCCCCCGGAAACAGAAAGGGACACGAAGGAGTGCGTGAGTTTGGCAACCTAGTATGAAGACGAGTTGCACTGGGGTGTGGTGGTACTGTACTGTATCTGACTTGTGCGAGAGATCGGGCGCAAGGGTGGCGGTGCAGACACACATGTCAGTAACTGTGCTGATGACACGTGTTCGGTGTCTGTGGACTTCAGATGTATCGCAAGAACGCGCTCGGGAAACATCGAAGGTCGATCTACGTAGGACATTGCTATGGTAAAAAAAGCGAATAAAAGGCAGCTAAGTAAGTAGGCTAGTGTCCATGGTGCTCTATATTGCATTGTTTTGGTGTGTGACGTTCCGGTGGGCTGCTTGACCTCATGACATGCGAATCTGACGATCGATGCAATGTATCTGATTTGCGCATGCGTGCGTGTTTACGCGAATGTGCGTGTTTGTAACATGTTTGCTGGATAGTTCCCATTGATGCTGACTCTAAGAAATGTAGGAGATAGACCCATCTAGTGCTCGTCACCGTATGTATACTGCCAACCCCAGAGATCCAACCGAGTTTTACTACAAAACAGCGTCCTTGCAAGTAATATAAATAGTACTACATAACATAATGAACAAACAGTCTGTTAATGTTTTACTACAGCGATACGGTAGTATGAATCAGGCAGAAGAGATCAGCGCATCCGTCATAGAATATTATGTGCATTAAGTCAACAAGGGTCTGCAAGGGTGACCACATCACTCGAGACTGGAGTTCAGACTTGTCAGAAGACAATTTAACGCTCATATATTGCATCGAATTGTCTTGTCTGCGTACTCATGCAACGTACCGTTTGCGGAATGTTCACCGTGGTGAGTGTGCGGTAGATCTCAGGGTATTGGTCCCGCAATTGCCGTCCCGCTTTGAAGCCGTCCACCAGGGTGCTTTCACCCCCCGTGCCGTCAAAGGACAGGCAATGAAATACTTGTAACCTGCACTTTCGATTGGATGTATCGGAGAGAGCCAACAGTTAGTCAGAACACGAACCCGGTATGCTACACAGCCATTTACCACATGATACTCCGATTTCTCACAGACTGGCGTAGAGTGTCAAGATTGTCTCGCCCGCACTGTATCGGTACAGCTGTGAATGCATGTGTTGTGGCTACTTTATTTGCATAGGGATTCTCGGTGCACCCATACTTGATACTACTACGTGTAAGAAATCACCATACTATGTGCGAGTCATACGCATACTATGCTACCACATTACTTGTACTACTCCTTACAGGCGCGCAACCCAAGGTGCTTTAGCATAACCATAAACCCTAAATGATGTATGCGAAACATAGCAACGGATTTGCATACATCCCACCGAGATATATAAACAACTAAACGCATACTAGCACGGTAGAAACCAGCGGACTCAAAAGTGTACATGTGTAGCAATTCTCGTATGATATCCTTGTGTATTGTATGTATATCGACCAGTGTATGCCAGTGCAACAAATCCATCAAACTAGTCAAAGATAGGAATGGCAGTTGTACCTGCACGCACGTCGAATACGCTAGCAAATCCCCAACTAACTGCTGAGTGTGAGTAAACGACCATCCCAGTAGATATCCGTATATTCAACTATAAACAAGTCAAGCGCTCTACCTAATAAATCGGTAGGGCTTGATGTCACACAGACTGCACCAGTCAACAACCCTGTCCCACCTACACTCAACACGTACCCGGCTGGATCGGAACAGTACGTCATATCTGTGTGGGATGGCAGTGATAGGTTTGTGTAGGCTGTATCCGCGTGATCGAGCGCATTGTTAGAGAACGTCCACCATTCGCCATAGAATGTGTGCATAGGCGCGTACACTCGCTTGATGACCGCTTGAGTTGCTTGTTCCGTGGCGGGTACTCCGTCGACCAGCGCAAACCCGGTCCGTTTCTAGTGATTTATACAGTATAAGGAATTGATATACGTGTGTACATAATTAATTTTACATGTAAGTACGAGCGCGTCTTATAATCAGACATAAAGTATGTATGAGTGTGGGGTGGTGGCGTAACTTTCATTTGATTCTGTGTGTGCAACAAGCAGTCAATTTGCAGCGCACAGCAGAATATTGGCACAGCACCGTTCAACAAGGAGCTAGTATCCACTCCCGTGAGCAGAAGTGGGCGTATGCAACCCTAAGCCCTAAAACCCAAACCCCTAAAACCCTAACACTTGACCATGCCCGGGTGAACGCTAAGACCACTACACTTGTGAGCTCCGCTACGCCGCACTTGTCCCCGTTGAATGCGGCGGTTTACATTCAGGGCGGCACTAAACTTATGCACCCGAGTTCGCACGCTGCGTTGCGGACAATAAACTCAGTTTGTGGCATAGCATCGAGCTGCTCTATCAGCCAAAGTCACCTGTGAACCACTCACACTCACAGGCTATGCAAATGAGAGCGGTACAGCATACCGTATTAGACACTGACACACCGACTGGGTGAGCACAATATACCCAACCGTTTAACCGCTCTGAGTGGGATACATCGATACATAACTTAATCAATCCAACAGACCAAAAACAAGCATGTATCCGATTTGAAATCCCTGAATAGATCAACGAACCCGGTGGGAATATAAGTTCTGAATCGGTTGCCAACGAATCATCGAACGCACATCAGACTGCGAGTGCACACAATATATCTGGTGAGACCTAAGCGAGACCACCGTACGAATAAACACCACTCCATACTACTCACAATGTCTGTCAGCCATGATTTTATCCCACTAGTGCTGTCCATGAATTCGTTGTACTGTGTCACTGGCGGCGTGGCAGCAATTGACGCGTCCCAAAACGTTTGCCTGGACGTTCGTGAGGGGATGTGCGTGCTCATTAGCAAACAACAGACAGTGAGTGGCATTGATGCGATAGTGAATGTGCATGTACGCAAAAAAAAGGTCTAGCAAGCGGACTTAGCTGTATCGGCGGATGGATCAGACCTACGCCAGATGACATGCATGTGGCTTTGTAGTTGAGATGTTGAAGAGTTGCACGCACATACAGCGCGCAGATCGACTTCTCTTTGCACTTGTGCAGCGAGAAACCCGACCCGTGATCTCTGCTGTGTGCGTGTGTGCACGTGCACGTATACTAACGTTTCTTCTTGTCACCACATGAACATGATGCCCAGAGAGAGACAGGCTATCGCCCGTGGTACAACACAACACCGTGTGATGAAAGGGGTCATACGCGTCATAGCTATATACAATCTCTCACAACCCATCGCCAGCAAACCTGTCCTGCAAGTGACAAGCACAACGGACACGCACTGTAAAAACGGACACTCACTGCACCTGTCGGTCTCTTTCCTGGGGCGTTTGGCCATTGCATTCCGTAGAGACGACAAAAGATACGTCGACGAATGCCCATCGGGCCCTGAGGTATTAGGATTGTTAGAGTGACAATGAATCTGAGAGAGTGGTGCGATTAACTGTCCATTCGGTGTCAATGTCTTGGTATCAGCACACTCTGCAATAGCAAGCCCTGATATGGGTAGCTACTCTGCAGCAGACACTGATGAATAAAATAACATCGTTGGTGTTTGGAAACGTCAGGACTAAATTATGTCTCGCAACAGCTGAACCCATGACTCATGCATTTCCTGAACCGGATGACTTAGCAACGCACACACAAACGTCTGCTCGCTCGAAGCGACACCTCTTAAAACAAATTGTACGACGGACTAGTGGCGTACGACTCACTCCGAAAATCACATACACACACCGCCCTGCACCTGGTCGAGTGTGTCATCAATGGCTGGGCTGATCAGCGGTAAAATCACATATGACGGAATAATGGGAGCGAAATACCCCACACATACGCATATCCCCTCGGGAAGACTGCCTGTAAGAACATACACTGGACGTCCAGCGCATCGTCTCGTATTTGTGCGTGCTCGGGTGCGATGTCCAAAGGCAAGTCGTATGTCTCGAGCAGCCGCTGCCGAGTGTCTGTGTGGTAGCACGTGGGGCATCGGCAGTGGTCTCTCAGCCAAATCCCCTCACTAAGGGAACAATGGTGCGGTGAACGGGTTAGTGTACCGAACTATCTACAACAGGCACCACACACGGGCTTATTGGCGTATGCGCAGACACCAGAAACTGTATCAGTTAAAATCATATCAATAAACGGATACGTATCTCTCTCAGTGGGAACACATACTATACCAAAACTCTCGGGCTGGGATTGATTGGGGCGACCAGAACTGTGAGTAGCAAATCAAGATATGGCTTGGACAAAAGATAAAAAATTGAATAGTGCCTCCGCACGGGCGTCCGATCTGTCTGTGTGCGGCCCATCTGTGTGTCTGCAAAGGCACACAGATGATCATCCGCAACTCCAACTCACAAGCCACACATCCACAGCAAATACAATACAATGTGCGCCCCTATCGGTTCGCGAGCACAGACACACACACGAACGCCGACCATTCTCAGGTATATGCTTAGAAAGTGTGCAAAGAACTGCATATGTGGCCCTGACTCAAATTCCGCCAATCGAGGTATATACAATGTCGACGCGTACGCATCGCATCAGATATGTATACAACATGTACACCAGGTACCAACTCACATAAACACGTGTAGCTGAAATGCTATCTGCACACTAGAATGCGGATATACACGTGAAGTAGAGCTATATTGCTCATTGACGAAAAATCAGAACTCCTGTAGTACAAATCGATTGTTGATTGCGGTTCCTACCTATCAATACATAGACGATGCTACATATTTAGAGAAGATCACACCAAACGCATACGGAGTCCAATTGAATATCCTGTTCGTAGATGGGCAAGCAACTGCAAGCCGGATGCGCATACAAACTATGACTGTGCTACTTAGAAACTTATGTTCCTATTTGAATATACGCACGCATCGGATTCATACATCTAAATTGGAACACACGTGCACATTTATGTTACTTTGTGCATCGATCTAGGGTTTCCAGTGGCACGATATCCACATAGAATGTACTAATGAATATGCTCTT